CCTGGTGGTATTAGTTACCCAGCCCAGAGAATTTTCAGCACCGTGAACAGCACCCTCTTGCTATCCACTGCCTACTATCCTGCACCTGGTGTTCCGTTAGACCCCATCCCAGTGGTCCTTATTCTGTAGTTCTTCGCGGACTCTGGCCAGTCACTGGACCCACCACTTTGGCAAGAATCCCTCCACAGAACTGGTTTCTTTATGCCTCTCAGTTAGGGACCTCCATGATCTAAGCTTCACATAAGAGGGCCAGGAACAGATCAGAACCCTGCTGCTTGCTGTTCCAGCCTTCCCTACATCTTTCCTCCACCTTCCCTTCTCTTCTAGTCATTTGGCAACTTCTACCTTACTTTTAAGTCACAGTGTGATTTAAAATACAGTTGAATTTTGAGGGGAGGTAAATTTATATGTGAATTTTCAACTCCGCAGGGGGTTGGCACTCCTAACACCCATGTTGTACAAAGACCAACAGTATTCCATTTTTGTTGTAAAAAGTTTGCTTTAGCAAATTGCTATGTTATAGATAGGTTAAAAGAGAAGAGAAATGGTGCTTCTTAACTCTGGAAAACAAAATGTAGACAAAAGAGCAATGTTTCAAAGTCTTACAAAATTATAATCATCCTTATAAGTTCTTTCAGTCCTGTGTACTTAATTATTGTTAACAGTTTTATGAATATATCATTCTCTCCATTAGAGTTAAAAAATTCTTGTAGTATAACCAGCTGAAGGTATGTTCTTAAAGTTATCAAAAACCTGTATTCATGGGCGTCTGGGTGGCTCAGTGGGTTAAGCCTCTGCCTTCAGCTTGGGTCATGATCCCAGGGTCCTGGGATCAAGCCCTGCATCGGGCTTTCTGCTCAGCAGGGAGCCTGCTTCCCCCTCTGTCTCTGCCTGCTTCTCTGCCTACTTGTGATCTCTGTCTGTCAAATAAATAAAATCTTAAAAAAAAAACCAACCTGTATTTGTCAGCCCCTTTCATGAATCTCTTTGAAGAGGAAGCACTTTTGCAAAAGCATTAGAGTAAAACAGTAACTGTAAATATCAAAAGATTTAAAAGTAGCCAATTGGAAAGATTTCATGAGAGTCTGTTACAATGAAATTGACAAGAAAATTTTATTTTTTCTGACAGACATTTTAAGATAATAATTAGAATTATGACTGATAACATTATACCAACACATATCAGATTTCTAGAAATTTCATACAATTTCTGGAACACATATCAGTAACATATATCCATACTAATATAACCTAAAGAAGGTTTAGCATCACTTATTATTTGACAATGCTTCCCATGTAATTTGACATGTTAAATTAACCTAATTAGTCTAACATGTATCTTTTATAAAGACAGAAAAAAAATCTTTTGAGATGTTCCAGGGACCTTCTTATATATATCAAAGTTAATTCAAGATCAAAAGGACTTCATTTAGAATTTCTATGGGAAGTTTATAAAAAATATCAAAAGGTGATCTGGGTTAGCTATTCAACAGAAGTGACAAAGATTTCTAAGGCAAACTAAAAAAGTTACATAGTTGTTAAAAGAAAGTTTAGCTTTTTTAATAGAGAAGGCTCAAGTAATCAAAGACCTGATAATGATAACATGAAGCACAAGAAATTATTCTGGTAAGATGAAATATATTTGCTTTCAAAATAGATTACAGGGTAAATAACAACATTTCTTAATCTCTTATTAAGAGCACACCAATAGTTTAAGAAAACTTTCTGTTCAACAAAAGAAAGAGAATTACATTTTAATTTTGCATAGATACACCATTGACATTAAAGCTTATTTTAAAAACCCAACAATAAATTCATTCATTTTTCATCAGCTTTACTAGATAAGATTTTCTCTTGCTTTCTGCTTTCTACTTCCATTTGGTTTTTATCTTATATTCCTCATTTTTTTCCATTCTAAAATGACCATCCTCTTTAGAACAAATTTACTTTCTTTTCCCTTAACAAAAGTTCGTTTTCATATCTCTACCTTTTCTTAACAAAAATACTGTTCTCCCAGTAGAGTCATTTGTCTTATGATTTGTAGTAGTTTTAATTGCACATATTGATTAAAATTATTAGCCCTTGGAAACTTTAGTTACTAGTGAAAACTGAAAGGTGAGCTATTATGTACTCTTCTCCCAGCATTCTGAAGATTGGCAAATTTATGAATACATTTCATAATTTCTGGAAGTATATTCTTCCTCACTGTAAACTTTTCAGTGTTGCATACAATATGTTTATTAAACCCAAATAGCTTTAGTTCCTCTGTAATAAAAGCCCAATGTAAATAAATTTATGTTGAGTAATTAATATTTCCATGTTTTATCTTACTTGGAAATTGACGTAGTCATTACTGGAGGAAAGAGGAAGGGCCTCCTTGTGGGTTTCTTGAATTCATATGACATAAGAAAGACATGAATTGTCATAGTCCGGAAAAAGAGTCCAGGCTAGGCATCCAACTCTTTCACCCTTTGTCATCAGCAGGATCTTGACCAAGACACTTAGTGAACCTCACATTTGCGAATCATAAATTTGAATTAGTACAGAACTATAGAGTATGTATGTTGGACTGCAAAGATCTTTGAACCCTGGGCTGGTAGAGCACATTTAAGAACTTCTCATCTAGACAAAAGGGGATATCATAAGACTCCACCCCCATTCAGCATCTTCACTATCCAGGAACTAAGGTGGGAGCTAATGAGTAAGAAATGGAAAATAGGGAGAGGAAGGATCTGTGGCTTTCCTTGCTGGTCAGCGCATGATGGCAACAGAACATCAGTGTCCCAGGTCTGTTCCTATCTCTCCTCTTGCAGTGGTGTTGGAATAGGCCTTTCATGTCCAGAGTGGCTCAGCTTTGAAGGATGGAGGAAAATAAAATTGTCTGAGTAGCACATCCTTCCTGGCCTGAGGTGTAGTCCCCTATTGTGAATGTCTCTTCTTGCTCTGGGAGTGCTGGAAACCATGAAGGTGTGAGCAGAATTTGTGTGTGTCATGAGGGATGGTTGGCAGGTCAGACTTAGGCTTACAAATGGATCCCCAATCTAAGGAGGTATGTAAGGGTAGCCTGATACCCAAGAATCCAGAATCCAGCAGAGGATTACAGGACTGGTTTGGGCCACCTTCTGAGGCTGGATCTGTTGGTTCAAAAAGGTATATAATAGAATGCAGTGCCAAAAGCCCTGCCTTGCACCCCACTATACAACTTTAAAGAGTAGACGAGGAGCATACAGCTGTTAATGGCTATTCCAAAGGAAAATGGAGAACCAAGAGAGCTAACATGTCAGAATCAGAATGTGTTTTCCAGCAAATGCATCCTCCTTCATTTCTTGTCCACCTACTATAACCACCTACCATAACCAAACCAACCATCCTGGTTTGCCACCCAAAGTCCTTCCTCCCTGGAACTCACTTGGTCCCAAGCATGTGCATCTGGTTATTCAACCTTCCCACCATTCACACTGATGAAAATCACCACCAGGGTGACCTAAAGAGGTCACCAAGGGTGTGTGGCAGACTTCAGTTATGTGGGATAAGGAGGAGCTTGCTAAAGGAGCTATGGGAGGTATTGGGCAGAAACTTCCCACCCAATGTATATGCCTCTTCTGTCTGACTCAAGTCTTTGTTTTCAGGTCAGAGAGCGTGAACAACAATTGGAAGGACATTTACACATTTGTGGATGATGCAGTGAAGAAGTTTCCAAAGTAAGGCTCTCCATGCTGCAGGGTATTTTCCTCTGCCAGGAAGATACACAGCTGCTTAGATTCAGTGGACATGGAAGTCCCTCAGGCCAAAAGCACAGTGCTCACAATGGTGTTCTGAAACAGGAAAAGAGGGAAATTCAAATTGTCCATTGCTTCTCAGCAGATTTTGCTGGCTCTTGCCTGAGAGGAGAAATTAAAGGGGACATAGTCTGCTTCTGAGAACCTTACCAGCTTGGAAAGGAAGTTAAAGCACACTGACCAGTAGCTCAGTAACTAAACACCTGGTTAAATGATACCAATGGCCAAGAGAAAGGGACAAAAGTCTTACATGGCAATATAAAGGTAAAAGCAAGAATTCCTAGAGGAAAAAGTCAAGGCTAATTACCTAGAAGATGTGGAAATTTGAACTAGACCTTGAAGAATGGGGAAAGCCAAAGTAACAGGAACCACTAAGAAGATGTCTTGTGGAGGAAATGGTCTGTTTGTTGGTAGAATAGGTTTAGTCAGGAGAAGACTTGAAGATGAGGCTGGACCAGTCACCTTGGAGCCAAGAATATAAGGGCTCTTAATGCCAGGCCACAGGGCTTGAATTTCCTGCTGGAAATTCCTACTTCCTATAGAAAGTACAGGATTCTTGAGTAGGGCTCTCACATGATCAAGGATGTGCTTCATGAAAAGAAGTCTGTTCCTAAGTGGATAAAATTAGTTGGAACAAGAGCCAAGAGCAAATAAAGAGCTCAGCTAGGGACCTATTGTAACAATTTAGCTCAATGATACTGAGGGTCTACAGAGCAGAAGATAGTAGCCAGAGGATGGGAAGGAAGGGATGTATATAAATGGCTTCCAAGAAAGAGAATAATTTCTTTGGCAAGAGAAGGAGATGAAGAAGGAATTAGGAGGGAAGGGAATGAAGGTCCAAAGAATGTTACAGTAGAAGAGAGGACAGGGGCGAGCCCTGCATGCAGGAATGTGAAGGTGTTTATCTCCTTATGATATGTTGTGCATGTGCCTCTGTGTGTGTGTGTGTATGTGCATGTTCATGTGTGTGTGGAATGCGTTCTTTAAGAATGTAAGAAGGGAGCAGGATTCCATCTTGGCATTCTATTCTGAGGAGGTGACACATCTTACCAGCCTCAAAGTTTTTCACTACATTTGTGGGAACTTCCAGTGTTTGGGAAATGGACCTGAAATCAGAAGAGTTATAGTGGGAACTGTAGAAACTGACATAGACTGCCTCTCACTGGCTGCAGTGAAACTTTTTTTTGGGGGGGGGGGGTGTTTTTTGGAGTTTTTTTTTAGCTTTATTGGCATCATTTTGAGCCTGTGTTGATGGCTTCTCACAAGCACATGCTTCCTCTCTAGCTTGAAAATGCGGATGTCCTTCATTACCTACTCCACACAGGGCCACACCCTTATGACGCTCACATCAGACAGGTAAGCACTGATTGGATCCCCCATGGCAGACATGAAGAGCCAAGTCTTAGGGACTGCCAGGAAGCTGAAGTATTCCCTGAAGCCACATTGGGAAGGCCAATGGAGTGCAGGCTGTGCTGGCTTGAGGTCCACTCATTGTGCACCCTGACTCCCAGATCTGGCTCCCTAGCCTTCTCTGAGCCCTGGCTTCCCTGACATTGGCAGATGATATGTTGCTAGACCATCTCCACCACTCTAAGCCCTGACCTAGAGCTGTCCTGAATGCTTCCCTCCATGCTATTTGATTTTTGAAGAATGCGCTATATGTGAGGACTCCTAGGATTGTATGGAGCAGATGTGCAGGTCCTTTATGAACAGTGACCTGTGTTGTGTATCGCTCTCTGCCCTGGTCCGGTGTGGGAGGAGGGGTGGATGGGAGACAGATCAGACACAGGAAGGAAGGGATGGGCAGCATCGAAGTACTGATGTTTTCAGTGGAGGGGTTTTGCTCCTTTGGTTGCTCTGAGATAAGAGAGCACATGAGTAGGGTTCTGAGCACAAGGCTGGGATAGGGCACTTGAGAAAGGCATGATGTGCCACATCCTAGGTGGACCATGGTAGGCCCAGCAGTTTACCCAAAAGTCTGAAAGTGGAAAATTATGGCGGTTAAGATTCTCATGAACACAAATGGCTGAAACGCAATTTAGAGAGGGGGGATACACAAAAGAGGTTGAGCACCCTTAGGACTGTATGGACCCAGGATTTGGAACATAGAGCCACCATTCAATACCATGGAGACAAACCAAGAGCAGCAGAGTGCTGATGTCAGTGCATGGAAACAGCACTCTCATGTCTGACTCCAGGAGAAGCGGGGAGTGGGCTGGCTGCTCCAAGCATTAGTGGAGGCATGGGTTTGTGCATATGTGTGGTTATGTGTTTAGAACAGATAGACCTGAGTGCATATGAGGTGGAAGAAAGCAAGTCCATTGGGGGTGATGCTGGCAAGTGGCAGAGAGATGCAAGACTGCTGGGCAGGGGGCTCTGGTGGAAGAGCCGTCCTTTGGGGAGGGGAAGACTTCTGCCTTCTCCAAGGTGAGTGTCTTGGGGCCCAGATGTGAGAACCTGTGTGGGGGCTTAGGGAAGGCCTCCTGGTCCTCTCGCACAGAGAACATAGTGACATCTTCCCCAAATGAAGGTACAGGAGTAGCAGTGTGCCCAGGGGAGTGGAAATGATGAGTAATTATGTTTTGGCAAGGGAGTAATATTTTAAGAGGAGTCTGTCTGAGGGTGATAAGAGCCTATATTCTTTCCAAGTTCAGAACTAGGAGTAGGGCTGGAGAGGCAGCACTTCCTTGGGGCCATTGGGGCAAGCAAGCATATGCCTGGCCAGGGGGCTCCTAGGCCAGAGATTAAGAAGGGATGAGAGTTACCCCATATTTGAGGGTTCAGTCAAAAAAATTTTTTCCAAAATGTGGCAAGAAGAAGGAGAATGATTCTGCTGGGCTGGCTAGTGTCTGGTGTGGCTCCACTGGCCACAGGTCCCAGGCCTCACCTCCTGGGCTGGGTGGGCTGGACAGGGCTGGACCTGGGGCTCTTAAGTCTCCCCGACAGCAACATCTGCACTTCCCACAGTGAGAAGCCTTCTCAGGGTCCACTCTCTCCTAGACTGGCTGTGCCAGCCCAGATTGTCACATGGGATTGGCCTGAACCTAAACACCCAGCCCCTCCTGTGTCCCCATCCCACCTATGAGATCTGCCTTCACAGCAGTTGTCTGGCCACAGACCCGTGGCTGCCAGGGGATCACTCCTCAGGGCCACTTCCCCAGGCTTTGGCCTTTTTCTTCAGGAGCACATGAGCTCAGGAGCCCCAGTGTACTCACAAAGCAGCTTGCTACTTCCTTTAGGACCAGTCCAGAAGGGAAAGAAGCTTGGGGGTACTGGGTCAACCTCAAGGGTCTGTGGCAGGGGAGGATGGGACAGGGCAGGAGCATCAATCAGCAGGATGACTTTTCCAAACTCAGCCTTACATGTTGGAGGATAGTGTGCCTTCCTGAGGGACCTGGTAACTTCTAGCATCCCTGCCCATCACATCATGAGTGGGATTCACAGTGACACCTCCATGGGTGTGCCCCACATTCACCGTGGATGGTCAAGGCAAGGCCTTGGGGGTCCCCCAGATCTGTGTGCCTGAGACTGTGACGAGTGCAGAGAAAGCCAGGCCATAGCCATGGGACTAGCAAAGCAGCATCTCCCACCCTATGCTCACCCAATGGGAGACAGTGGAGGCCTAAGCATGGCCTGTCAATATCAAAGACAGGGGGCTGAAGGTCATGACCGGGCTACTTGACTTGTGTCTTGTCCCAGCCAGACATGTACACATTGCACAGTGGTTCCAGAACGGCTTGGGGCTGCCTTTAATATCAAGACCAAATATCACTTCAACCACTTTTCTGATTTTTGTTTTTTAGAAATGAAATAAGTGATGGTCTCACTAAACTCCAGAATATAGTGCCTACCGGAGCCACAAATATGCAGGAAGGATTTAAAAAGGTACCGAATCTAGAGTTCTAAGGACTTCTGCTTTATGGAGTTCTTAGAGTATTCCTGTGTCCTCCCACTGCCCTCCCACAATACTCTTTCATTTCCTTGCAGGCAAATGAGCAGATTGAACAAGAAAATGCCAAAGGTAAGTTGCCTGGTGACTTCACTGTGGGCAGGTGTAGGGGCAGAGCAGGCCTGGGCCTCAGGGAGGTCTGGTACAGACCCTGGTCAGCCCCTTACTATCACTGACTCTTGGAGCAAGGTGCTGTCCTCTCTGGACCATAGATCCCTCCTCTGTGCATTGAAAATGAAAACCATCCCTAGTGATGTGTCTCAGAGTAACGTGGGGCTATATGTGTACCTTCTAAGTTCTTGGTAACTGAAAGGTGCTTGAACTACACTTGGGATGCCTGAACAAGAAAACGGAAAAGCCAGGGGACCTAGAGCAGACAAGATTCCATTTCCCGAAAAAAGTGATGGATTTCCCCCTTGCTACCCACACTTTGTCTCCATTACATTTCTGGTCCTGGCTCTTTTCCCTTCCTTTCCTTCCCTTTGGCTGATATCATCCTGTGACTGTGTTTCCAACACTGGAAAAGGCTGTGCTCTGCCCAGACCATCTTCATCTAACATCCTGGCTAAGGCTCCCTTTCCTATCAGATCTGGCCTTCTAGTCCTCCAGATGCTCGTGATGGCAGGTGCTGAGGTCTGGGCACTTTTCCCTTGGAGAAGGAGGTACGGGAGCAGTGTTGTGGCTCCAGCAGCCTGCAAAGAAAGTCATTTTCTGTGCCCCTACCAATGGGGTCACTCCCTATTTCCCCTGCAGGCAACAGTGCTGCCAGTCTGATTATTGCTCTGAACACAGGACCACTGACGCAAAAGTCATTTGAGGAGACTAAGTCTGAAGTGAGTCCAACCAATTGTTACCAGCATTTTGTTCCATGTATTTGGTATTTTGTACTCAAAGGGTTCTTTCTCTTAGGCTGAGAAGGCTCGAAATATGGGTGCCAAAGTTTATTGCGTGGGTGTAAAAGACTATAGGAAAGACCAGGTAATTCAGAACAGGTAACCAGGTGCCCCTCCATGAGCCTAGATGGGGAAAGCGTTCACAGGCAGCTTTCCTAGGAATGTTCCTCTAACCCACCTGTAGTGTCTGGATAGCAGATAGCCACTCCAGAAGTGAATGACAAGTGTGTAAAACCTGCCACCAGAGGCACAGGTGGAAGGGCTTTCCCTTTCCTAAGTGTGGGCTGCTGACCGATGCCAAGGCCTGGCCCTTGGAATCCAACATGGCATGAGGGAAGAGACCCTCTCCTGGGATGGGGACGTATGTATCCTCCACTTCTGGCCATGGGCTCAAGTCACTTCTTCTCTCTTGTAGCTGAATGACATTGTAGAAAGAAGGGATCAAATGTATGGTGTAGACAATGGATTCAAGTCCCTGGAAGACATTGTTAACTTGGTGAGTGTGGGCTAAATGTGAGAAAAGGAATGAGGTGGCTTCTTACCTTGTCCCCTCCATTCACTATCCCTGACATGCCATCCCTCTTTCTATTCTAGCTGGTGGTAAATTCCTGTCATGAAGTCATGGCTGGGGAGAGTTACTTTGTCTGTGTAGGAGGTAAGAGCTGTAGTCAACTGTTCTAGACAGAATGTGCTGTGTGCATGTGTGTGTGTGATATGAGGTGTGTGAACATTTGGTATGTGGGTAGTGTGTGGGTGTCTCAAGAGTGTCGTATGTGCATGTAACACAGTTGTACAGAAACATTTTGGTCATATGAGCGTGCATGGAGCATAGTAGTACAGCTATGTTTCACTGGAGTGTGCATGTCAAGCATGGGTTGTGGTGTGGTGATATCCTTAATGACTGTTTTCCCATTACTATGGAGGTATAATTGACACACACCTGTGTATAAGTTTAAGGTATTCCATGTAAAGACTTGACATGTATATATCGTTAAATGATTACCACAATAAAAACAGTGTCATTACTTTTTAAATCTCACAGTCAAAAGTTTATACATAACAAGAAAAAATATATTTAAAAACCTTCAACAGAGCACTGTAAAATGAAATCTGAGAATATATAAAAAGCACAGCACATCAAGAAGAATTAGGGAAAACTCCTACAATACAAGTCTGATTCAGTATTTAAAATATCAGTGTAACTTACCACATCAGCAATGTGCAGAAGAGAAACATTATCTCAATGGATGACTAAAGAATTAGACACAGTTAAATGGCCAGTGTCCTACTGGGAACATAGCCAGACAGAAGGCATCCATACAAATACAGCTAACATCTCATCCAGTGGTTATGGGGAACTCCTCTCCCTCACATCTGGAACTTCACAAGGGTGCCCTCTCCCCATCCAGGGGTCCTTGCGTCAGTCTGGTGAGGACTCCTATGCAGTGACTACTGGGACAGAAGCCCCCTCTCTGTAATGGACTCTGTGTGTGCACACTGCGGATCAGTACAGCAGAAGTGGATGGATAAGCACATTTCTTCCACTGCTAACAGCACTGAGCTGGATCCATCCAGATGCAGACCCAGAGGCTGGCTCTGGCTTCTGCACTCCTAACTGTAGGGGCATAGTGCCACAGACCATGGGGTCAGACAGACCTGTGTTCACATCTGGCTGTGCTGCCCATGAACGTGCCACCGGAACAAACCACTGAACATCTGTGAGCTCCCCTCTTGTCTCCAAGAAGTAGCAATAACAACACCCATGAGCAGATGTGAGACAGAAGGCCAGGGGATTTTATGAGGACTGGCACAGGATCTAGAAGTTGGCCAGCCCTAAGCAGGAGTAGTGGTACTAATATTCCCATCATCATGGTGCCCCTGGCCGCAGTGCTGAGGCCATGTGTGGAGAGTGTGGGGAAATCATCCCGGATGAAAGCATCTCCAGCCAAATAAGCTGTGAGACGCAACTCTCTGATTCCTCCTGTCTTCTGCACCAACCTGCAGCGCGAGGGGGGAGGTGGGGAAGAGACCCCACACAAGTAGGCTCTTCTGGTTTAAAGCACTGAGCTGTGTAGCTGACCTGACAGCTTCATTTCTCTGATTATGTCCCCTGGACACGCACAGGCCATGGCGTCGCAGCAGCCTGTCAAACTGCAGGTGCAAATGACGGTCATCTACACTCCCCCATGGTGGCCAGGCCAGGGTGACGGGTGCCTTGCCACACACCCACTGACAGCTTAACTCAGCATTTCCTGTTCTGACCTTTTCAGTTGTTGCCCTCTTGAGGAAGCTGCCACAACGTGACAGTCACTGGGAGGCCAAGCTCAAGGCAGGATCCTGGACCCCAAATGAAATCAAAGGAGGCATTTCATCAGGCTGTCACTCAAAATAAATCAGTGGGTCAGGGAGCCTTGGGAAGCAGACAGGGGACGAGCATGAGACTCAGGACCTTTTCAGCCTCTCGGGGTGCTCTCCAGGGTGAGGTAGAGGTCTCTGCTGGCCTTCCTGCCTCTATGCCTGGTGTCCAGCCCATCCTCGGCTCAGTGCCCTCAGGCCCTGTGTGAGTGTTTGGTGTTAGTGTGACTTGTGTGAGTGTCTGGTCTTAGCATGGTGAATAAATCCCATGGCCATAGCACCTAGAAAAGCTGGCAGGAGTGAGAACAGACTCGTCATTTCTCCACCGCGGTGGCTCATGCTGGCATCTCCTACACAGGGCCCGAGCGCACTGAGCAGGCCACTTCCTGAACCCCAGCCTGGCCTGAGAGTGTGAGGTCCCTAGCCCCCATCAAGGCCAGGCAGGTCTCCCCTCAGCTCTAAGGCTGGGGCGAGGGGTGACACTGGGCTTCCTGCAAGCCACTCCGTCCACTTTCCAGGGTTCAGTCCACCCCTCCTTTGAGGCCTCACTCCCAGGAGTCTGCCCCTTGCCCCTTCCCTGATTCACTGGCCCCTCTGGATTCCCACCGCCCTTGCTCTGTCCCTCTCATTAGTCACTTGTCACTTTGTACCTGCCGTGACTTTGCCTCGGCTGTGTCACCGTTTATTTTTACCATTCAGTACTTTGATATTTTCTCGGACTTTGTGAAGGAAATTTCCAAACCTACAGCAAAGTGGAAACACCAGTACAAGAAACAGCCCCATCTCCACTACCTGGGTTTTACAGTTCATATTTAATATCTGACCATATTTCATTATAATTTTGTCTATCTAGTGCTCTCTCTCTGTCTTGCAAACACACCCATCTATGCCCACACACAAATACAGACACAGTGCGTATTTTTTTGTGCGTTTCAAACCAGTTACTGCCATCAGGCTACGTCATCCCCAAAACGCATCATTCTGTATGTATTTCACTATTTATACTGATATTTGTTACGAGTTCTCTTTTTAAATTGCAGCAAACTTTAGTGCATCATTTGATGACTTCTGGTAAATGCACACCTCAGGAAGACCCAGAGTTTACCATTGACCCCAGAAAACCCCTCAGATCACTTGCCAGGCGATCCTTGACCCCCTCCCCCCATCCTGAAGGCAACTGCTCTTCTCAGTTTTTCTCCCATAGGCTAGTTTGCTCCTTTACAACATCCTCTCGGTGGACCCATGTGGCACGAACACTGGTTTGAACATCATGCTTGCTCTGGTACTCTTGGCACGGTGGTTTGCAGATTCATCCTTCCTGTGTGTGTGCTGGCTGGACTTGGAGTATCGTGTCAGGGAGGAAGGCTGGAGGGGGCACCTTGTCATTCTTTCTTCTGTCTGTGACTGGCCCAGAGCGAGTCCGTGGTGGCACGTAGTAGGACCCAGGGCAGAGGAGGGCTCTCCTCGGAGATCCAGTGAGCAGGGCCTGCACTGGGTGCAGAGGGCAGGGCGGGCTCTGTGGGGCAGGAGCCCCCAGAGGGGGAAGGCAAGACCCACGGTGCTGGGCAGAGACACCTTTGCCACCAACATGGATAGCCGCTATCCATCTACCATGATCAAGCTCCCCTTTCATCCCATCCTCTGTCTGCCAGAGATAACTACCACAGACAGTTCATTGTTTATCTATACAGAGCTATCTAAATATGCTTTCCAAGGATCTTTTTACATGAATGGGGTCATGCAGTATGTAAAATTCCCCAACCATCAGCACATATTCCATTCTACAGATGGAGGAGATTTCTTTCACTAGTCTCCCTGGTCAAAATTCTGGTTGTTCCTAACATG